TTATAAATGTATGAATCATATGGTGAAAAACTGACTTTGAAAAATAAATCTGTTCTTTTTTTCTTATAAAAGGCTAAATAAAACAAAAATATTGGTGGTAATTTTTGACTGTGTAACTTTACAAATGGCAGCCCATACCTGAGACAGAATAAAACAAGGACAGACTCACAACATAATCTTCATATGTTGTTTTTTTATATAAAAGGACATCCTGTAAGGTTATCAGGCTTTAATGAATTTGAGTAAAATGATCAAAAATATCATTTCAACAATCTGAAAAATGCTCGTTTTGATGAAACAGCTTGGGTTTTGTTCCAGCTTCATGCTCTCCTCCATCATTATGAGCTCTTCTGAACTCTGTAATTCTTTCCTTGTGACGACAACAACCAGACTCCTTACAGCTCCCGCTGCCTCCCGCCTCCACGTGTCGGGCGTTCAGAGGCCGTTTCACTGAGAGCGGTTAGTGTGACAGTGTTTGGGATGATGGAGCATGACAGGTCTTTGCTGTGGCTGCAGGACAGCAGGCGGTGGAGCTGTGGGTGCTAGCATGGCAGAGGAGAAGTGGAACAAAAAAAAGGGTGGTGATAATGCAGAGCGGATGCCCAGTCTGGTGCGGTGGGGACTCTTTTTGCTCTCTGGGGCAACTGATGAGCCCCAGATGGACCGCCAGCTGCTCTGGGTTTGTGTGTTCAGGGAGGTGGGTGGGCTCTGAAGAGCCTGTTCAGGTTAAAACCTCTCCTGATGAACCTTTCTGCTCTGCGGGATGTTTTCACTTCAATCCACCAGGAGGGGCTCCTATTCTCATCCAGGAGGGCTCTCAAGGTGCTCTGCATCACCAGTCCTCCACAAGTGAAGTCAAAGTGTCCATCTGCCACCTTTCTGTCCCTGGCCCACCTCCTGTACAGGAGAAGTCATTAAAAGACCACCTGATCTGGTGGCTGGTGTTGCAGCTGATAGTCCTCTGCAGCAGCAGGCTGTGGATGCTGATTGACTGGCCTGGAGATGAGCCCTCATGTGAATAAACATCTCAGAAAGAAGCCAAACACCCACATGAATATGAAACACAACCCATTCTGCTTATCTTTGAAAGCCGAGCTCTTTTTTTTTTTCTGTTTGTGGGATGAGCATCCAGTCAATCCTCTGCTCATTAATTTGGATGATTGCCCCCGACCAGCCTGCAGTTTAGCTTATTAGACATCCTGTGTATCTGCTTTTTTTTGTTTCCCTCCGGTCTCATCAAGTCCATTGAGACAATCCCCCCTGCAGAAAAAAGTCTCTCTCTCTCTCTCTCTCTGTGTGTGTGTGTGTGTGTGTGTGTGTGTGTGTGTGTGTGTGTGT